ACTTAACGATCAGCTTCAAGCACGATATGGTGTATGTTTAAATTGTATTAGACTGTTTGGTAAAATGTCTGATAGAGCGCAATTTTTATATGTAAGATTTACTGTAACAACACTGTAATGAAATAAATATTACTGTGAAAACTATGATATAAAATTTTACAGTAAAAGTGGATTTCGCCATTGTGGAGCAAACAAAAAATGAAAGCGTAGCAATTATTGCAGTTTGGTGAGCGATAGGGAACAGGGGGTAGGAGTTCTCTAGTACATTTATAAAAAATTAAATCTACCTCCTACAATTTTTTTCTTTCTAAATGTATGTGGAAATTATTCTTTTGAAATAAATTATCATTTCAAACGAAATATTTTAAAAATTCAATAAATGTAAAAAAATAAATTTAAATTTTAATGATCCAAAACTTCATTACAAAATTGGTTTGAAAACCATATTCTAATCTTTATAAAGTTTTTAGCCAAGTATTTAATTAAAGTATTCAATTAAGTATTATATTTATATAATACTTAATTATATACTTTACAATTAAGTATTATAGTATTTATGAAAGTATTTAAAGTAACAAGTACTGAAGTATTTAATTTATTAATTAAAACAGTTTTCGCAATGTCGTACCAGAATTATAGTTTTAAGGTCGATTCGAAGCTATTTTACGCCACCTGTAGTGTTATTCGAAAACTTGTAAAATCTGTAAACAATACAAAAGGAAAGTTCGTTGAAGAAAATGTCACCTTTGGAAATAGAGTTTCTTTCGCCCTATATTAACCCTAGTCATTCAATTATATTTTCTTTTAATGCTCAATTATTGTACAGAGTCTGTTTTCAATTAGCAATTCGATAAAATTATCCCAAATAAGAGAATGTTTAATAGTGGTATTAGCCACGAGTTACTAAATTCTGATAATTGCCGGCCAGCTGTCTGAGTGAAGGAATAGGAATTCTTTCAACTCGCGATGAATTTCCAGTGTCCTGCTCTTCCCAATTGGTGACTCTGGTCTTTTAGAATACGAAACTCTCTTTCAAGGATAGATGGCAGCACCATAGAGCAAATTAAAAATAATATTTAATATTTCCCATCTCTAATGGGAAAAAAGTTTAGTATTTTCCATCTCCTCATGATCAATGACCCCATCAGATAAACTAGTTAAGCCATATTCCACGGTTCATTTGGCCAAACTCAACTCTATCCCTACACAACACCAATGTCCGTCATATAAACGAAGCGCCTAACTCCAATGTCCAAATAGATTTCATTTTTACGGTTTTGAAACCATATTCGCTGTAAATGGTTACAAATAAAGATAATTCTGTATTCATGTTTTTTTAATCGTTTTAGTTGCATACGGTTTCAAAACTGAAAGGTAAAGAAATACTTCCAATCGTAAATTTTATCGTTCTGTAGTTAGACAGACTGCTGCTGATTGTTTAATGTAATTTTAGAATGAAAATCCTAACAGTGACGTATATCAATTAGATACGTGTAGGGAGTTTAGCGACAAAATTGAATAGTTTGTCACAGAATTCATATTTATAGTTGCAGTATACTGGTCAAGAATGAAATCGAAAAACTCTATGTACATTCAGAAGTTGAATATTTAAACGAGAAAGCTGACGAATCAATAGTGAGGAAGACAGGACAAAAACAGTAAAACCTGTTTGATTGACCAAGAGAGAAAAAGAAGTACTGAAAGTAACTTATTAGTTCCATCTCCTAACTATCACAGATGCATTGATGTCTTCTGCCTCACTTTCCTTAATAATGATTTGTCAGATGACAGCAATTTTGTACCTCGCAATTGTGTGCAATTTTCGGATATAATTTTAGACAGAGATAAAAAAAAATATTTTAAAAGGAGATTTAAAAGAAAATCTTGTTTCACACTGTATTTAACATAAAACTCATTCTTTTCTATTTTAAAATATTTTACCTTTGTAATATTTAAGAGGTTAATGTTTAATTTAAAGTAGACTTTTAATACAATTTTAATTAGAGGGAATATAATGCAATTAAAATTTTTACCTGCATTGGCAAACAATGCATGCCTGGCAAACAATACGTGATAGTTTTATGTAGAAAAAAACTATACTTTTAAATTTTCTTAATGGGTTGAGGAATGTCAAGGGATTTAGAATCAAGTCTAGAGAAATTATTCAATTTAATTTCTTTTTATGATAAAATAATGACCTTATATATTCTAATAAAAAGCGTGTTTTTTCTTACAAAGATTTTTTCTAAAGTTGCCTTGCTTTATTTCTTAAAGGCGACAACACTGTGTATTTATGTGTATATTTTTCTTACAAAAACAATATTCTTGGAATTTCACTTAACAGTAATCCCAAAGGAATTTAATAAAAGGAAATATTTTTATTCAATACTAATTTACAAACTTATACTTTGTAATCATTGTAAATTATTATGCATAATAATTATTTTTCAAATTATTATACATAATAATTTACAAAGATTGATATTTTGACTAAGATAATGATAATCTAAGTAATAATTGTTTTTTTTAAATTATCATCATTATCATATCTTTTCATGCCCAATGATACATAAGGATCTCTGTCTTATGTGTCCTCTCTCTTTCCATTTTATTGTACTACCTTATTTTTAGGCGTCCTCTCCTCCTTTTTCCATCTGGAGCACAGTTCAGGGCGACGCTAGGAATTTCATCCATGGCCGGTAAAGTGTCATTTTCTAATTTTAATTTTCTTCATGTATGGATTTTATTTTTACTTTCTGTAATAGCATTTCATTGATAAATAGTGTTAGGCCAAATAATATCCAAAATAATTCGCAAACATTTACTTTGAAATTTTTAAATTTTTTTTAAAAAATCTTATGTTGCAGTCAGTTTCAATGTTTCTAAACTATACAAAAGAAGGAGTTTTATTAATGATTTAGTGAGATTAGCTCTTCTGCATGATTCCTCTGGTGTTGAGATCCTGGTCTTACTGCAGCTGGTCCCAAACCCGTAAAAAAGGGAATGGTTAGGGGACGGGGTAAATCTTCCCTTCGCGTAAAACAACTCTGATTACAGTAACCCGTAGTTTAAATTTTCTTTGTCCCAATACGAGAAATTTTATTAATGTTATCCCATTCGTCATTGACATATAATAATCGAGATAATTTAAATATCTTTCCAATGAAAAAATGTTTTTAAATATTTTATCTTCTCTAAATATTGACCAAAATGACGAATTACTGATATTTTGCCTAAAAAATTGTTGTTGATATAACAAGACTGATATAAAAATTTTCTTTTCTTCACCGTATTAAAACTGATTATGTTGTTTCTAATGCTACTTGCAACAAGCTTACTTGGTGAAACCAAGCGAATTTAAGGCAGAGAGTGCATTTCTTGCTTATCAGTGACGTCATCTATGGCCAAGAATAAGACTTCAGTCACACACTCGTCGCAGCCCGTTTTATGGGACGGACCCATGCATACATCCATTTATTCATCCACAGATCGTAATTTTGACCCCAAACCAGTGAACGATCAATTTCCTTTCAGTACCTCCAAAGATATAGGTTTTTAAATGGAAACATGGAGGACTTTGTGACCCGACAGATTTAACGTGCACCAATCACCATTTACTACACCAGTCTTTGGCCGGCGGGAATCGAACTGACGACCGCTTGGATATGGGCCCAACACCCGACCGGTGAGACTATGCCGGAACACAACTGAGAAAGCAGTCAAAATAGTTTAAAATAATCTTTTATTTTTACTAATTTGTAACACGACTGTTTATATAGATTTACTAAATATGAGAAATAATTTTTTTTATACATTATTATTTTTCATTGAAGTCGAAAAGTTAGTTGTATAGAATAAAAATGTTTTTATGATTTTTAAAATTGAAAAAAAAAAAAAAAATCTGATAGCAGGCATTCAATTTTTTTTAGAAAGAAGGATATAAAAAATTTATGGCTAGTATTTTGCTTAAGGAACTGAATTAAAAGTAATCGGGGGGTCAGGGTATAGAGGAGACCCCCAATGAGCACATACAAGTTTGAATTTTAGCCCTGGCTAGTTGATTCAAATTCTGCTCCCGGCTCTATCCCTAACCGCAGTGCTGACATAAAATATCCTCAACGGTTTACCTCCTTGCTCTCCTTGAAAATTGCATGTTCTTACCATCGGGCAAACAGTAGAAAGTTTTCGTGGCTATCCTCTACACGTAACGCAAATGTGACTTAGTTCTATTAAAAAGTTCTTTACGAAAGTTAGTTTATCCCAACGCTTGATCCATGAGTTCCCGGCTTCTGGGTTGGATCTAAAACTACAAGGTTGTGGAGATAGCAATTGATAGTTCTAACCTCCCCCTTATAAAAAATAGGTCAGCTGTGGAACGCCGGTTATAAAATAAAGTAACAAATCTTTTCTAAGAAGAAAGTGTGTTTTTTTTCCTTAAATTATTCTAAATCTAAATTTTTAACAATCAATTCAACTTTTAATCAATTCAATTCAACTTTTAATCAATCAACTCAATTCAATTCAACAATTTAAAAAAAAAGTTGAGATAATGACATTTTGTTTAAACTTCTAGGCAGATTTTTGATTTAAATGACCGAATATTTTTAACTTTTTTATTTATTTTTATCTTCTATCACCCGTATCAGATCTTGAACATCTTTATTAAGGGCCCGACGTCTACTTGCAAACAGCATTTAGCGCTATAACACATAGCATTCATACGGTTACAGTTCATATGTTATCTTCTGACCTTAAATAAAAATGTGCACACTCCCCAACTCGTACAATAAATCGTCTCCCCTTCTCAGTGTAACTGTATCCGTACTTGGCTCCCAATTCTTAGTGGGATTTTCTGATGTGGTTCACCAACATCTTTAGAGCATGCGCAGTGGGGTGCCGAAATTTACCTTCCCCCGAGTCTTACTCTTGATGCTTTTTGCAAATCCTCATTGGTTAAGGGGGAGGGGCCAAAAAACTTTTCTAAGATCTACCGACGGAAGGAGAAAAATAAAAGTTTTTATTTCTCGAATCTTTCATTCGAAAAGTTTATTTACTTATTTTCCTGTGAGTGCTAATGAACATTATATAAGAAAATGCACGTGGAAATATTAGTTCAAAATTATGTTAAACAATAATTGAAAAAAAATCTAAATTTTATAGTACGTATTACCTGTTTTACGTATGTTTACGTAATCTAAATTATTTTGAAACTCCGATAATTTTTAAGTTTTTCTTTCAAATGAAAACGTCATTGTAGGAGAACTTCAGAAGCAATAGATTGGATTAAAATCAATTGATTTAGACTCTGAGTCAGGTATAGCAATATTTAATTTTTTCAATAATTTCACTAGTAGTCAGTTTTTGTAATTTATATTTCCATTGATGAAAAATAAATTGTTTGTAACAACACTTTTTGAAGAAATAAGTGTAATATTTCTAAATAGTAAAAAAAAAAAAAAAATGACAGAAAGATTAAATGGTCTAAAATTGTTTCTTATTGTTGTCGGTGAATTTTTATAGTCCAGAAAAATTAAATAATAATTAATTAATCACATGGCCTAAAACCAAGCTTTTTCAATAAAATATGATTAATGAACGCAGTTCCGAAAATTTTTTGGTTGTTATCAGTTTAAAATTCATAAAATCTTAATTAACTTAAATTTTTTTAATGGAGACTTGTCTATTAATTTTTTCGTATAAAAAAATATATTTACCTTGTTCTTTGTCGATTACATAGATCTTTTATAAATCAAAGGATTGAAAGTAAGAATTTTTTTTTCATTTGTACATTAAGAAGTAACCGTATAATATTACTTTATTGTGAAACATTTACCATTTTACAATTCTGAAACTGTAAATAAGTTTTATTTTTTATTTTTATGATAAATTTTACGTAAAACTGTGTTCAGTAAAAGTTTGCGGTAAAATTAATAAAAGTAAAAGTAGATTTAAAATTCTAGAACAATAATAAGACGTATTTTTTTGCATTTTTCCTAAATAATCTCTTTGACGAAAAATGTTTAACTGGCTTTTATAGTAACAAGACAGTAAATAGAAATTTAAGAAACACAATTGTAGATGAAGTTGCTATGGTAACCGAGCAAAATTATTAATTTTACTTTTTATTCCCATAGAGTCAAAAACTAAAGCTTTGTTAATAAAATATTTTGATATCTTTCAAATGAATAATGTTTAATTTTGATGTAACCATTTATTCAAAAAAGCTAAAGGGATAATAGGGGATGCGAGCAATGAGAAAAAACTAGTATATTTAAATAAAATTTAAGTAACGCATAAAATTAGAGATTCTAATAAAAAAATCAGCAAATAAATCTAGAAAAAAATATTTATAATAAACGTTCTGGATTTAATTCCATATTACAATAAACGCAATATATTCTATTTATATATGACCATTTTGTTTTACATAAGGATATTAAAATTTTTTCGTTTTCTGATTTTAGCAGGCTGACACTTTTTAAAGTTAAAATTTTAAAATAAAGATAATTTTTAATACTTTGGGGTTAGTTACGTATTTACTTAATTTCATTTTAAGTATTATGTTTTTAAATTTTACAATATTTTAATTTAAAAAAGCAGAAAATACAGGTCTCAAGATTGAATTTTTTGTTTATTAAGAACTATTTAATTTTTATATAAAAATATTTATGATAAGTAGAAAACAGCATAGAGAAATATTGTTTACATATGTTACTTAAATATTATTCTTTTCTTTTCTATCTTATTTATTAAAGTTATTATTATATGTTTGACAATATATGAAAGTTATAATTGTTTTACCAGAAATTTGAAAGCAATTTTTTAAGTATTATTGAAATAATGTAAGGAAAAAAAATAGATTTGTCTTTTTTGAAAATGAAAAATTCGATTAAAATTTTCAAGTATCAATTGCAGTATTTAATGATAGAGTTATTAATCAAATATTCACGTTAAGAATCTTTTGCAATTATTTTTATTCTTTTAACTTATTGTATACCCGATTCTGCATCGATATTTAAAAACTTGAAAAATCATCTTCCAATTTATCTAATCAGAGCAATAAATAGACCACCTCAAATTTTGGGGCCTTTGTAATTTATTAGTATACAAAATTTCCAATTCGTTAAACTTTTATAAATTAGTAAGTAAAACATCACGGAAATGAATCTTAAAAATATATTTGTTCTTCTTGAAATTTTTTTCTCTCTCATAATTTCTGCCATTAATTTATTAGACACTACCTTACAGATTTCAGACATTTTGTAGCAGTACTTTTTCTTCCCAACTTATTTTTTGTATTAATATTTTTTTATCTATCTTCACATACAAAACCTTTTATTAATTTAGAAAAAAGAGCAATAAAAAGATGTGTTAAATGTATTTGTTCCTCAGTAAAAAGTAAACTGTTAGTTTTATTTTTATTTATAATCATATATCATACATCTAACGAACAGTATCCATTATTTTAATGTCTAAAAATGAAAGAAAGAGTATTAAAAAGATGATTTAAAAATATTTGTATTTTACTGTTCACAGCATTGATTGTTCGGTTTATCTATCTTTACATAGTGATTTATTTATTAATTTTACTAAAAAATATCAATTAAAGATGGTTTAAAAATATTTTCTCTTTTCTTGAAAATCTAAGTAATACTTTTTATTGTTATTTATCCTTATATATTTATCATTTAATTTAATGCATCTATAAATTTAGCATTTAAGATGAACAAGAAGTAGAAAGATGCTTTAAAAATATTTGGACTTTACTAAAAATCATACAGATAATTGAAACTTTTTTTTTATCTAACTTCACATACTTAACATTTTATTGAATTGCTTATTAATTTAATAAAAAAAAAGAGAAGAAATATGTTTTAATTATGTCTTTTCTTCCACAAGGATTACATATTACAAACCTATTTTCTCATGTTTAAATATTTTTTTAAAATTGTCAACTATTAAAGATTCTTTAAAAAAATGTTTTATAAATACTATATATCCTTTATTACAAATCGCAATGATAATTTTCTTACGTCTATCAGCACATATTTAAAATTTATTCTGAATTGTTTATTATTTTAATGTTAAAAAAAGATAGAGCTTTAAAAAATATTTACCCTTTACTACAAATTATACTGATAATTTTTTTACATCTGTTTTTGCATATTTAAAATTTATTTTAAATTGTCTATTATTTTAATATCCATTAATTGTTTATTTTTTATAGAGTACTTAATACTTCCTTGTTAATAAAACCTAATATTCTTCAGTTAATAATATTTAAAAGTTTTGATTCATGCTTCAAATAAGTGTTGATATGTTGTTAATGTCATATTTTTTGAAAAATTAATGATAGGTACATTCATGTGTTCTTATTAATATGCAATCGAAAATTTTTTTTCCTTCGGCTATGTAAAAATTTTGAGATTTTTCTAGTTTTTTTAATTACTATCCTAAGACAAAATGTAAGCTTTTTAGAAATAGACTTTTAAATCACTCACTTTATAAATCTAATGATCCATATAACTACTCTGTAAAAATGAGTTTTTTTGAATCAAGCAAAAAAACGTGTGAAAATAGCTCTGAAACAAACATAATCGAATTTGAGCATCCCGAGTATTCATTATTGAGTATAGTTCCAGGCTCAAAACATAAATTTATTTTTAAAACTATGCTCTTTCTCGTTTAAACAACAAATTACACGAAATGAGTACATGGTAATTTCAAAATCTATTATATTTGCTTCAAAGCTATTTATGCTCAATTTTGAAAAACCTATATTTATAATGCAAAATCTAAGTATACACTACCCTAAAATACTGAAAGAGACACTTTCATTTTCAGATATTTTTATTTTAAATTTCTCAAGAAATACTCAGAGGATTATTTTGTAACTTTAGAGTTGTTTTGTTCATGAGATTTGTCAAACTTAGGAATAGGATTTAAAGTTTTCTGAGGTTTGAGGGATGGACAGTAAATAATGAAAGAAAACAAGGTTTTTTGAACACCCTATGTCATAAAATCACGCATAGAGCTTGTCACTTTTACCGATTACTTTAGCTGTTACTTATAAAGACTGCATTAAATTTCATAAACCTAACTTTGAAATTTATGGATGTATATTATGTATGGATGTATATTATGGATGTATAGATAATTATGGAAATTATTTTTTGTGTGTTACGTTTTTTGCTTATAACTTTAAAAATATTTTTCAAAAAAGGAAACAAGGATTTTGGAGCAAATAAAAATTAATTAAAATATTATTGATTTAAAATTTGAAAAAAAAATCGTTAAAAACTGCGCAAAAGTAATAGTTAAATAGTAATAGTTATAAGGACTAGTTAAAGTAATTCTTTTAGACTGCACATGTACGGAAAGTTTAAAAAATTTTTTCCTCACAATTTTGTTGTGAATCGTATTTCGTAACAAATGAAAAAAGTCTGATTTGAATATCCTAAAAATTTAAAGAGGCTCATGCAATTTTTTAAGAAGATTTTGCACTTCCTTTAAAAAAGCTCGAAATAATAAGCGGTTTTCCTTAAATATTATTTTGTATCATAAGACAAAATTTAATAACTAATGATACTACCTTAAAATAATCGTCTGGACCCCAAACTGTGAAGATATAAGGAAAGAAAAATTATGAAACAAAACATTCTTTTTTGGGGATGATCCTCTACAATTCCGATGTAATTTTAAATGATTAATAGTGCAAAATGAAATTTGCAGAATCTTTATAATTTTGAGCTTTCTTTTGAAAAATTAAAAAAATACTTAGGAAATTGCGTGAATTTCCTCAAATTTTTAAGATATTAGACAGACTTTCTCATTCGTTGCTAAATATGATTCATTTTAAAAAAGATTTTTTAAAATTTTTTTTCAGGCATGTGCAGTATAAAAGAACTACTTTAAATAATCATATTTTGCGCAATTTGTAAGGAATTTTTTCCTAATTTTTAAAAAAAAATTTTGTTATTGTATTTTACTTGTTTCAATTTAAATTTTATGGCTAAGTATGGAAAGAAAATCGCATGAACCTAAAGTAACAAAAAGTAACTCTAAGCCTTTAAACTCGAAATCTCTAAAGTAACAAAATAACCCTCCAAGTATTTCGTGAGAAATTTAAAATAATAATAAAAGCTGAAAGTGTTTCTTCTATTATAGTGTATGATAATATTTGTAAATTTGAGAACTAAGTTTACGAATGGTATTTTCATGCCTATTGATTGGGATGTATTTCGCAAAAACTAATATTTTCAGTGATTTCTTATTATTTTTATGCATTTGCTGATCACCCCTTCTTCGTACGGG